TCGAAATCCGAACGCTCTTCTCGTTGATGCACGATTCAGGCGGCTCGATGGGCGGCGGAGATAGGGCTCGGAATTCGTCGAGCACGTCGCGAAATCTGATTTCTGACCCCGCACCCTAGCGATCGAGGAGAATCGAAGATTGGCGTGGGTAGGGCCTGGGTGTCGCCACCGGCTAAACACGTGGTACGGAAAGATTGGGGACAAAGACTGACCGTTCGCCCCCAGTGCCGCCGCGAACGTTGTTCATTCGAGACAGAAGGCCGCCTGCACAACAGCGGCTGCTGTCGGTTTTGGACAACGCATCTTGTTGGGGATCGTGCCCATTTTGTCCTCATCCATTCCAAGTGTCCAAATCGGTGGTCTTCGTGGACTTTTTTGTAGGGTCGGCGCTGGACTCGCTTCTCGCCGTCCATGGCGGCGCTTCTGGCTCCGCCCCGGGTCTGCTCCGCGCGGTGGGGCAGGGATGTCGGGAGTGAGTCCCCGACCCAAGAAATCCGCGCGGACCTACCACAGCGTATGTTGATGCCTTGTTCTTGGCATCGCTCGGACGTGTGTATTTTTCCTCGGCGCGGACCATCGAGGAGCATCCTATATCATCTTGCAACACAAGCCGCGCACCAAACCACAAAATGCACGAGGAACGGCCGTCCGAGCGATGGTCCTGTGAGTCTAGCGGTCACGGGCCAGGGGATCTATGCCTGCTGAGCGGCGCGCCTTTTTGCTGTGGCTCTGGGCCGTCAGAACATCAGATACTGCACGCGCTCTCGTTCAGTTCGGGCGCATTCTGCCGTAGTTCCTTGTTGCGAGAAGTCACCACAGCATGTAGCGTGTTGCTTGTGCGGGAGTGCGTCTTGAGGTGAATCAAGAGACGTGCGTTTATTTGATTTTGCACTGAACTGTGCAGTTGGCGGAACACAGCAACTAATGCAGAGTTGATGGTGCGCTTGTCTGCCCGATGCGCCGTTTTGTAATGAAATGCGCGCGCTCAGTTTAGTTGCGTGTCCGCTGCATCACATGTATGTGCTCGCGCTCGCTGTTTCAATGAACCGATCGGCGTTTTTCTGGGAGGTGTGGAAGGGGAGGACTGGGCATACATCAACTACTCGCAGGTGCCGCTGACTGGTCCCGGAGACTACCTCGGTGGGAGTTGGGAGGCGGCGCCTCCGCCGAGGTTGGACGCGCGAGAGGGGTCAGGCCTTCTCAGCTGGCTCGGCGGCGAGCGAGGTGGGGGGACGTGGATTTGCGACGGGTCCCGCGTCCGTAGGGAATCGCGGATCTCCGCCGCCGAGCGAGGCGGCACCGGCCGCATGTTTGGGGAGGGCACCTCCCCCGATCCATGGATTTGGCGACATGGATCGCTAATCCATGTCCGCGCGCCCCCGATTCTCAGAAGGCGGTGGGATTTTTCAGAAGCGTTCTGAGAGGTTGTCTGTGTCTTCGGGGACGGCTCAGACAACTTTTCAGAAGGCAGGGGGACTTCCGAGCCTTCTGAGAAGGCCTCCTTCTTCTCACTTCCTCCCGTGGGCTCGCCGCCGACAGGCGGCGGTGCTTTCGGAGCAGGCTCAGAAAGCTCCTCCGAAGGCCGAAGGGCCGTCCGATCCTTCTGAGGAGGCGGTCTTTAGCGGGCCATGCAAAAAACACTCGGGCCTCCTGCGGCCGTACGGGACGACCCTCCGGGCCAGCCCCGGGAAAGTTCTGCACGAGGCGCAGTTGCTGGAGGGCATCCCGAGGCGGGAAGATCTCCAAGAACCAGCGAGGACGCTCGGAATCGAAGGACGGGAAAAGGCACAGACATAAACTTTGGACACTCCGCGCGGATTTCTTGCATCCGCGCTGGGCCCCCCTCCCGCGGCGCCTCCGGCGCCGCCCTTGGCGCCCTCCGCGCGCCGGGGGGGGGGGTTTCTAGCGCAGGTCCGAGAAGTCCACGCGGAGAGCCAAGGGGGGGGGGGGCACGTCGGAGGGACAACGACCGAACCGAGGAACCGAGGGCCGGAAACCCAGGTGGACAACGCAGACCGCAAGAGAGGGACTTGCTGTGGACGCCGCCGCCGTTCCCGGCCGGGCGCCCAGGGCCCCAGAGGAACGCGCGCGGGCACAGAGCGCGGGGGCCGCTCGAAGAGGCGGCGCGCCAGCCGACGCCGAGAGCAGATGATTTCTGTAAACAGCCCCGGTCGCCCCGCAAGGCGACTGTGGCCGCGCCAGAGGGCCGCTCCCGACACCCGCTCGAGCCATGAAAGCGGGTGGGCTGCTCAGCTGGGGCGCCCGAGGCCTTGTCGCGCTGGTGCTTCGGACTGAAGCAGGCTGGCCCTCGATGATCTTCTGCTGCTCCGCGACCTGCTTCGCCGTGCCGCGAGCTGACTGTTCCGCCCCGCAGCCGCGAGCCGCCCGTCGGTTTCGCCCCCGCTTTCGGGTTGGTCGTACCCTTGGGCGGTATCGCCTCGCTGTGCGTAGACGGAGAGGATCTCGAGAGATGGCCGACGGGGGGCCGACGGCGCTTCGAGCTCGAGCCGAGGCTGACTATGGATGAGAGGGGGGGTCTCATGATCTCTCTACCGATCTCACTTTCGACCCCGCTACCGACTTCACTTTCGTTCTCACTATCGGCTTCACTGTCGGTATTGCCATCGATCTCACCACGGATCCCACAATCGATCTCGCTGTCGATCTCACTGTCGATCTCACGTCGACCTCAGTATCGGCCCCACTATCGATGCGTCCCTCGCGGGCCCTCTGCGAGGCCCCGCCCAACCCCCGCCCTCGCCCGCCCCCCGAGAGGCCCAATACCATTATATAAATCAGCGGTGACGGAATTGCGCGGCAGCGCCACTGGATGCAGCATCGGGGGGCCGCTAAGAGGAGAGCGCCCGAAGTTGGGGCCTCGCTCGGCATGCGCATTACCTGCATATGATTGGGCCCTTCGCCAAAGCGTTTTGCAAGGTTGGTGCGCGCTGGGGCACGCTACAGGCCGAAGAATGGGCGAGGCCTGTCAGCCGCGCCGTGCGAACGCGATATTACACCGCTGAGCACGCTGGGAAACGCCGAAAGAGCCGAGCCGAGCAGCCTACGTGCGGTCCCGTTTCTGCGGCTTCGGGTACGTGGCCCGATACTCACGCGCCCACCCCTCGCGCGTGGCCTGCGCGAGACCCGAGTGCCACTGCACGTTCGGGTTGCGCGTCTCGCCGCGTTGCCCGTACCTGCCGCTCGCGCGGAGCACGCCGCTGCCTCTGTTGCTGTCGCCACGTAGCACCTTGGCGGCTGGCGGCTGTGGCGGCTGGCCCGAGCTGCTGGCGTCTGTGCTGGTGTCGGCGGCTGTTGGCGTCTGTGCTGGCGGCTCGCCCGAGTTGCTGGCGTCTGTGCTTGCGAAGGCGGCTGGCGTCTGCGCCGGCGGCTCGCCCGAGCTGCTGGCGCCGCCTGTGCTGGTGTAGGCGGCTGGCGGCTAGCCCGAGCTGCCGGCGCCTGTGCTGGCGTGGGCGGCTAACGTCCTGTGCTGGCGTCTGCGCTGGCGGCTCGCCCGAGCGGCTCTCGGCTGCAGGCGCCGCCTGTGCTTGCGACGAGATACTTTTCCCTACCCCCGTCCATCGGGCGAAGAGAACTATGCACATGCACCGATCCTGGCAAGGCCCATCCTGAGCCCAGGATCGGTGCATATGCCTTCCTGGCCAAGGTAGGAGGGCGTATGCACCGATCCTGGGCTCAGGGAAAAATCTAGCGGGTCGTGCGTAGATTTTTTGAGGCCCACGTGCGCCCTTAGCAGAAACGTTGGCATACCTCGCTGGGGAAACGAGCGTCTCGCCGAACTCATTGGTTGATTGTTTGGGGTTGGGATCGTCGTCATGCTGGGCCGAGAGGAGCAGACGCGGTTACGAAATGGCGCGAACGTTGGGATTGCGGGAGTCGCGGGACGAGTTTTGGGGGAAATATTTACACATTGTTTTCCAGAGTTTTTGCAACGTTAGACATTTCCTGGGCGGGTGACGCGGCGCGACGTGTCTCGACGCATGGCCGCTCACAGGTCCAAGGGCACCAGGGTTGTTCTGGTTTGGGGTCAAACGTTCTGGTTCCATTGGGCCCGACAAATTTATCCCCAAACCGTTTTGGGGTGATTCGTTTTCCCATGGAGTGTTGCTGCGCGGACTGACCCTCTTCTGTTTGAGGTGGCCAGTGTTCTCGGAGTATGTGCTATTTGGGTGTGCGGCGTAGGTCAGGGATCCATGCTGTCGAGTCTTGAGGCGTTCGTTTCCGACCAGTTGATTGTAACGATTTCTTCAAATCATTGCCTATGGGGCGCAGCGGTCTCGCACTGCCAGGCGTCGGCCGCAATGTCGACAGAACCGCATTGCCGCGGCAGTAACAAATCACCCACGTCCGCGGTGGGCGGCGAAAAATCCTGGACAAGGGTCGGCGTAATCATGTCCCCCCGCTTGTGTAGGCGGCTGGCTGCTGGCGCCGCTTGTGCTGGTGTAGGCGGCTGGCGCCGGCGCAGGCCTCTTGATCCCTCTAGCCATGCACTTTTTGGGCTTCGTGGTCGGGAGCTTCGCCTCGGGCGGCGACTCGGCGTCGGTTGCTGGCGTGGGCCGTTGGCGTCGGCAGCTGGCGTCGGCTGCTGGAGTCGGCGACTGGCGTCGGCTGCTGGCGTCGGCTGCATGAAACCCTCGAGCGGCGACGGCACGCACTCGTTCATGCTGTCGATGCCTGGGAGGGGCGTGTTCTCCACGAAGTCTTGCCACCACGGCGCGTGCTCCATCCCCCAGAACTGCGCGCTGTCGCGCTCGAACACGGCCATCCGCTGTCGCTGCCACCCTAAGAGTGCCTCGCACGCCGCCTCGTCGTCCAGCGCTGGAACTGGAGGCGACGCTGACCGCCAGTCCACGACGGGCAGGAAGTCCAGCGCCGTCGACGTCGACGCCAAGTATGGCGGCAGGACGGAGCGAGCGTCGGCGCCGCCGGCCAGCGCTCTGCACGCAGCCGAGAAGAAGGCGGCCGAAGAAAGCAAGCCGAGCCGCGCGCGGCTGCGGAAAGGCAAAGGAGGGCGCTGCAAGTCGGCCTCGACACCTGCACGCGCCCAGAACGGGAGGGGGAGGGGGGGAAGAGGATGGATGGTGGAGGGATGAGAGGAGTCGAGGAGGGAAGAGCGAGGAGGAGGGAGCGACGACGACGACGATGGTTCTGTGTGTTCTCGCCGCCTGCACTTCCACCAGCGCGCCAGCTGAAGACGACGACGACGACGACGACGACGACGACGCGGCGGCCCACACGGGGCCCCCTCGGGGGGGGAGGTCCCCTCCTTCCCCTTCGCCTTAAGGCAGGCCAGACTTTAAGCAAATGTGCTGCCACCCCCTTGCGATTTCAGCGGGGAGCCGCTCGACGCACATCGCAGCCCATGCACTTATCTGAGATATTATTGTAGTGGCCTCCGGCCAGTGCCGCCGATCCGGGGCGCTCCGGGTGCCAGTGGAAATGTACGACGACGAGGAAGACGAAAACGACGACGAAAACGAATACGTCGACGACGACGACGACGACGAGAGCGACGACGACGACGACGACAGCGACGACGACGGCGATGACGACGACGACGACGCGACGACGACAACGACGACGACGACGACGGCGACGGCGATGACGACGACGACGACGCGAGCGACGACGACGACGACGACGACGACGACGCGACGACAACGACGACGACGACGACGGGGGGGGGGCTGGGGGCGGAGGGGCGAGGGAGAGGGGGCTCTGCAGGGGAGGAGCCGGATCTGCAGGGGGGGGGGTGCAGGGGAGGGGGGGGGGTCCGCTCTGCAGGGGGGCGGGGCTGCACGGGGGGGGGTCCGCTCTGCAGAGGGGAGGGGGGGCTGGGCTGCAGGGGGAGGGGGGGTCCGCTCTGCAGGGGGAGGGGTGCAGGAGGGGGGGTCTGCTCTGCAGGGGGGGGGGTGCAGGGGAGGGGGGGGGTCCGCTCTGCAGGGGGGGAAGGGGCTGCAGGGGGGAGGTCCGCTCTGCAGGGGGGGGTCTGCTCTGCAGGGGAGGGGGTGCAGGGGAGGGGGGGGGAGTCCGCTTTGCAGGGGGGGGGGGGCTGCAGGGGGGGTGTCCGCTCTGGGGGCGGGGGCTGCAGGAGGGGGGGGGGGGGGGGCGCTCTGCAGGGGAAGGGTCCGCTCTGGAGGGGGGGGGTGCGAAGCACTGAATTAGGTCGGAAATGAGGTCCCCCCCCCCCCCCGAAGCACTGAATTAGGTCGGAAATGAGGTCCCCCCCCCCCGCAGAGCGAAGCTTGAGCGAGCTCAAGCCCACGCTCTCAGAAACTCACACGCCGGATCGGCGGATTTAGCTCTACTCAAGATCATGATGCTAGCGAGCTAAGTTGCCTGAGTCCAAACTGTTCTACTTCAGGGCTGCTTAAAGTCTTACATGTAACTCAAGTGCCGATGGATGTATCAGTAGACATCCGACGCTTCAGAAATGGGAGCGGCGGGATTTTAGCAGTTTTCGGCCTCCTGGGGCCTTCCCAGGCTCGGGGAGCGTGAAAAGACGACTCAGGACGCATAGCTGGCCCTATCGGGAGGTGGTGTGGACCTCCCGGGCCCACGCATCGAACAAATTGGAGCAGCCAGGTGTCTGGAAGCTCTCCCGGACAGCTCTGAAGTCTCGTGCATCTGCGAACCTGGCCGCCTTGTCAGGATGCGAGGATGCGAGGCGATGCCGCGGCGCTTCCAAAGTCGAGGTGTGTGTGTGTGTGTGTCAGGGGCGCGCAAGGGGACGTGCCAGGGAACTTGTCCATGGGCGTGTCAGAGGGCGTTTCAATGGACGTGTCCGGGGCCGCCAGGGACGTTCTAGGGGACGTGGCAGCGAACGTGTCAGGGGACGTATCCAAGTCGTGTCTGGGAGCGTGTCGTGTGACCTGCCTCGGGACGCATCAGGGGATGTGTCCCGTTGAGTGTCAGGTGTCACGGGGTGTGTCGACGGACGTGCTGGGAGCCGTGTCAGGGCGAGCGCCTAGATACGGGTCAAGACGTGTGTGTGTGTGTGTGTGTGCGTGTGTGCCTGTAGACGTGTGGGCACGCCTCGGGACGTGGCCAGGGCCGTGCCAGGAGACGTGTGCAGGTTCGTGTTTGTGGGTGTGGTCGGGGACTTGTCCCAGCGGTATGTCTGGGGACGTGCTTGGCGACTTGGAAGAAGGCGTGCCAGGGGAGGCGTGGTTCTGTTTCTCCCTGGTAGAATCGCCACTTCTCAGCGTGCCCGCCGCCTCCTCCTCATTGTCTTAGTAGAGCATTGTAGTGGCCTCCAGCCACTGCTTCCGATCCAGGGCCCTCCCCGTTCGCTTGGTGGCCTTTTGGGCTTCTTGGGGCCCTTTTGGGGCCGTCGTAGGAGGAGGCTTCTTGAGCCTGTCTTTAAGCCTCTTGGGGTATGTTTGGAAGCTTTCTTGGCGGCCTTAGGGCGTTCCTGGCCCGTCGGAAGCCGTCTTGGGCGCCTCGCTGTGCCTCCTGGGAGCACTCTGGGGGCGCTTTAGGGCCGTCTTGGAGGCTATCTTGGCCGTCTCGGGAGCCTATGGGGGCGTCTTGGGACCCTATTTGGGCCGTCTTGGGAGCCCCTCGGGCCGTCATAGGGCCATCTTGGAGGCCTTTGGGGCCTTCAAAAGCAAGAAGGAGAACTGATTTAGGCCTCTTCGGGCCTTCTTGCAGGGCATCCCGGGCCATCTTGGGTGCATCTTGAGCCGTCTGGGAAGTATCAGGCGGCCATCTTGAGTTCTCTGGCCTCCGGGGTGGGAATTTAGTGGATTTTTACGTGTCCCCGCCCAGCCCAGCAAACGGAGCGCAGGCGGACCGTCGTTTTCACTTCAGTCTTAGTGGAGTATTTCTGGCTAGCACTTGGCGGGAAGCGATTGACAGCAGCGCCTGGGCCCGACACACTCGCACACATACACAAACCGCGGGGCAGCGCGCTTGCGGATAGTGGTGTCAACGAGCAGACGGGTGGGTCGCCGAGGGGTTCTGTCTGAAGGCGCGGGTCCGCACCGGGAGGCAAGGGGGGTGGGGTGGACACGGAGCAATACACGCTGGTCGTTGAAAGTAGGTATTCTCGGATTCCCAGATCCCAATCTTTTTCTAGCGCCTTCCTACTTCAATAATCGGCAATGGTCTTGATGTGTGTTTTTATGTTCTGGAAGGGCCTGGAGCCAATCTACTTTTGAAGTAGGAAGGCGGATAAAGTTTATCCGCCTTCCTACTTCATGTTTTTACCTACGTCTTCCGACCGACGCGTAATTATGCACCCGTTCCTTTTGAAGAGCGCGGGGAGGTGGGCGGAAGGCGGCGCCAGCGTGCGGCGTGGAGGGGCAGGGGGGGACGGGGGGTCTGCGGAGGAGGCCGGGAGCGGAGGCTGAAGGAGGAGGCGGAGGGGGAGGGGAGGGGCGGAAGGCAAGCCAGGTGCGCTAGCTTCGCGTCTGACTTCCGAGCCAGAAGGGGGAAGAGCAGGGGAGGAGGCGACAGGGGGAGGAAGGACGAGGAGGAGGAGGGGGGAACAAGCCAAATCCGCCAGGGCGCAGCATTGCGAGATATACGGATAAAAAACCGCACTCGGTTTTTATCGAGTCGAAGGCGCACTGAGAGGACTTCCTCCCCCGCCTTCCTGTCCCTTACCATGGCGTAGACAGCCGATCTATTCGCACAGTCGGATGCCGAGCAAGGCGATGAGCCCAAGAGCGTACGCGATGGATGGAAACGCATGGCGTAGAAGAGCGCGGCATACAACCGCATGCCATAGCATGGCGTTGCATTGCGTAGTGAAGCATTGCATCACAAAGCATATGAACGCAAAGCATGGCATCACACAGCGGTTCACGACACAGCATCGCATTGCCTGCCGTGGCATGGCACCGGACGACTTGGCGGGTAAGTGGCCCGTCTACGAGAGGACGGCTTGTCCGGAATGCATGCTCCATGTCCTCCGCAACCGTGCCTGTCCGATGTTGGCGCTTTCGAATGCCAAGTGCCTTCTGGAGGCGCGGGAACGAGGCCAGCGCTGCAGCGGGAGCCTTATTTTGAATCACCGAAGCGCGGAAATGAAGGCGGCGCTGCAGAGAGAGAGAGCACCATGACCAGACTCAAAAAACACATGACAAACCAAATCATGAAATGTTGTTTGTAAGTTCAATGCGCGGAGACGAAGGGACACTCTGGACAACGTCAGGGGAGAAAGGAGATTAGTCTTCATATTGTGTCACTGTGAGGCGGCGGGGGGGCCAGGGTTGGTTCTGATTCCTCCGAGTCGATTCGATTCGATTTCGATTGGTTCGGATTCCGATTCGATTCGACCTGGGATTCCGATTTGGATTCCGGTTTCCCAAGGGAGGCCCACTGGCCTGCTGATCTCTGCCGACCCGACTTCTCCCGGCTCGGCTGCCGACCTCCGCCGATCCGTTTCCTTTCGATCGCCGGCCCGAGTCGATTCGATGTCAGCCCCTCCTGGGTAGCGGTGAGTGGGCCCCCCGCCTCTCTGGAGTGCGTCTTTGCGCGGCGTCGGGAGAGGAGGAGGAGGAGGAGGAGGAGGAGGAGGAGGAGGAGGGAGGAGGAGGAGGAGGAGGAGGAGGAGGAGGAGGAGGAGGAGGAGGAGGAGGAGGAGGAGGAGGAGGAGGAGGAGGAGGAGGAGGGAGGAGGAGGAGGAGGAGGAGGAGGGAGGAGGAGGAGGAGGAGGGGAGGAGGAGGAGGAGGAGAGGAGGAGGAGAGGAGGAGGACCGAGGAGGAGGAGGAGGAGGAGGAGGAGGAGGAGGAGGAGGAGGAGGAGGAGGAGGGGGGGGAGGAGGAGGAGGAGGAGGAGAGGAGGAGGAGGAGGAGGAGGAGGAGGAGGGGAGGAGGAGGAGGAGGAGGAGAGGAGGGAGGAGGGGAGGAGGAGGAGGAGGAGGAGGAGGAGGAGGAGGAGGAGGAGGAGGAGGAGGAGGAGGAGGAGGAGGAGGAGGAGGAGGAGGAGGAGGAGGGAGGAGGAGGAGGGGGGGGGGGGGGGGAGGAGGAGGAGGAGGAGAGGAGGGGAGGAGGAGGAGAGAGGAGGAGGAGGAGGAGGAGGAGGAGGAGGAGGAGGAGGAGGAGGAGGAGGAGGAGGAGGAGGAGGAGGAGGCTGGGTCTCCCAGGAGGGCGCGGGCGGGCTGGGTCTCCCAGGGGGGGGCGTCCGCGGGCCTGCGGGAGGTGCCGGGCACTGGTCGGACCCCGAGGAGTCCATGATCGACTGGGACGCCCTGAGGCTCTTCCTGAAGAGGTGGCGCCCCGCCCGCTGGGATATGTTGCTCCCATCGTACTTGAGGACCACATCCCAGATGTTGGAACATCAAACGCTAGGAGCATGATAAGGCTAAAGTAGGCTGTAACATCATAACGCTAGGAGCATGCCAGACGTGCTGCACGCAAGCTTTGGCATGGGCCCACCATGCCCGACCTCCTGCTCTGACTGTGCCTCCTCTCCTGCAGGGGCAGGGCTCTCCCTCCGCCGCTGCCCTCGTGGCTCTAGGGTGCGGTGGGTGGGCAACCCTCAGAAGTCGAGGGGCGTGGGACAACGCTTCCTGTTTGCAGAGTCGACTGGGGAGTGGGAGTTGGTGCGGGCGAAGAGGAGCAAGGTGATGCTCGGCAGCCGCTGGCCCGGACTGGGTGAAGTATTGCGCAGTGCCCCTCTTGGCGTGGCTCGGACGTGTGTATTTGTTTTGTTCTGACGAGGATCCTCAAGGAGCATCCTGGATCATCATGCGACAGAAATTGTTTACGCTTCGCGAATTCTCTCGGGGCTCTCGTTGGGCTCTCTTGGGGCCCTCTTGGGAGCTATGGAGCGCCTCCTGGGGCCATCTCGGAGACCATCGGTCAAAGGTCCGGCGAGGACCATCAAGGAGCATCCTCGATCATCCTGCGACAGATTCAGCAGCACGAAGCCGAACGCCTGTATGGGGAAGGGGCCGCCGAGCGACGGCGAGTCCTCCGGTGCGGGGGTGTCCCGGCTGCCGTCGTGCGGCCTGCCCCCCCCCCCCCTCCTCTGCCCGGCGGCGCCCTTGGGGGGGACGGGCAGAGGGGGCGCGCCGTCTCGCTTTCTCAGCCCTCTCTCCCAGGAGGGAGAGAAATGCACAGGCGCAAAGCATCGCCGATGCCCGAGAAAAAAATGATGGAAGAGATATGGGAAGTGGAGGGGAAGACGAACGTCCAGGAACTTCAGAACATATCGGGAGTCCTGGGATGCGTATCCGCTCATTTGTGCGCCCCTTGGCCCCTTCGCACGCGAGGGCTTGTGAGACGGCCGGAGGACTTCTGTGAGGCCTCGCCGCCTCTGAGAAGGCCTGCCCCCTCGCTCTCCCCCCTCGGCGCACCGTGGGTGTACCTGCCCCGGCTGTCCGTGCGCTCGGACTCGGAGGGGGGGGCGGGGCAAAGGTGTGGTTGTCTCCTGCTGTGCGCGGTGGTCGTCGCGGCGGTGACGTGGCCTTTTATCTCCCGCAGGACGCGCGCGGTGAGGGGATGATGACGGTGATGATGATGACGGTGATGATGATGATGCTGCTGCTGCTGCTGATGCTGATGCTGATGCTGATGCTGATGATGATGATGATGATGATGATGATGATGATGATGATGATGATGAGAGTGCGTGCACAGTAATGATGTCAGAGGGGCCATTCAGTGAAACGAGTAGGGGGAATGTAGAAAGAGCTTAGCGTGCCTCGCCCGTGGCCTCGCTCTGCAGCCTTGTGTTCCCCATATCCTAAGATGGGGTTATTGTTATTACTTGGATGCCTCGTCCTCCTCCTCCTCCTCCTCCTCCTCCTCCTCCTCCTCATACCTAGACTTACTCATACACAGACTTACTCGTACACAGACTTACTCATACTCAGACCTGATCATATTAATGTACTCATACTCAGTCCTACTCATACCCAGACCTACTCATACTCAGACTTACTCATGCTGAGACTGACTCATACCCAGTCTTACTCATACTCAGACCCTCTCATGGTCCCGTTCGCCGCTGGTTTGTGGGGATGTCTCAAGCGGTTTGCCGGTTCTTTGTCCCAACATCCTTCGCTTTCGGAGCAGATTTGGAGGATGTCTCGAGCGAGGCGCTAAGGGGAGCCGCCGAGGGGTATTGCACGGTCCCGTTCGCGGCCGTTTTGTGGGGATGTCTCAAGCGGTTTGCCTGTTTTCTTGTCCCAGCACCATTCTCTTTCAGAGAAGATTTGGAGGATCTCGAGCGAGGCGCTCATTTTCACCCTCCTTAGGGCAGCCGCCGAGGGGTATTGCACGGTCCCGTTCGCGGCCGTTTTGTGGGGATGTATCAACCGGTTTGCCCGTTGTCTGTCCCAACATCCTTCGCTTTCGGAGCAGATTTGGAGGATGTCTCGAGCGAGGTGCTCATTTTCACCCCCCAGGTGGGCCAGATTTTGAGGATGTCTCGATCGGTTTGCTTGTTTTGGTGGCCAGACTCGTGAGCACAGATTCTCTTCAGGATACCACAAGAGGCTCCAACAGGCTCCAGGAGGCCCCAGGAGACCACATGAGGTCTCAGGAGGCATCAGGAGCCGGCCACAGAAAGACTCAAGAGGCCACAGGATGTCCCAAAAGGCTCCAGGAGGCCCCAGGAAGCTCCAGGAGGCCTCAGGAAGCCACAGGAGGCCCCAGGAGGCCACAGGAAGCGCCAGGAGGCCTCGGAAGGCAACAGGAGGCCCCGAGAGGCCCCAGGCGCAGGAGGCCTCAGAAGGCAACAGGATCGGCTCCAATCCCATGTGTGTTTACGTATGCTCCTATAGATTGGGCCTCACTTGGAGCACGAATCCGAGATGTTATACGCATGTTTCTATGTATTCTCCGTCTCGTGTGTACACAATCCTAAATGTTTTACTTATGTTCCTATACATATGGCCAATCCTGGGGTTCGAGTCCTCGGTGTTTCACGCGTGCTCCTTTAGATTACCCTTCTCCTGTGGCTCCAATCCTCAATGTTTTATGTATGTCTGTTGCTATATATTGGGCCTCTCCTGGGGCCCGAATCCTCCCTAGGAGGTCCCAGGAGGCCCCAGGAGGCCCCAAGAGGCTCCTGGAGGCCCCAGGAATCCCCAGTAGGTTTCAGGAGGCCCCAGGAGGCCCCAGGCTCATGCGCAGAGACGCGCTCGTACTACTGAGGCTCATTCACATTCCAATTCATTCGCAGTTGGATTCCTGACCATACCGTCGCAACTGAAGCCCGTTTATATTCGAAAGCTCTTGCGCCTGGACACTCACGGAGGACAGGTCCATGCGAATAGATGCGCGCATATAGGGAGCCCCGCGCAGTGAATCCTTGTTCCGGGGCCGGCGCGCCGCCGCTCCGTCCGCAGGGGAGCGCCCGTGCATGTCTGGCTGGCTCGGCGACGTGCTGGCGGACGCTGCGCGGGCGGCCGTGCGGACGGCGGGCGCCGCGTCCCTGGTGTGGGCGGGGCAGAGCGAGCGTGCTTGCCCAGATCGCACCTGCTCTCCACACCCGGCGTGCCCTGCGCGCTGCAGTGCCCGCCCTGTGCGCTGAGGGCGCGGCCTGCCCGAGCTGCCCGGAGGCCAGCTTCCCGGAGGTGGCGCACGGTCTCGGCAGGTGGTGGCTCATCGCGGTGGTGGTCGCGGCCTTCGTCGGGCTGGCGGCTGGCTGGTGCGCGGGCGCCGTCTGGGGAACGGGCTTTCGCCGTGTGTATGGCCGAGTCGAGGCCGATCGCGCCAGGCCGAGTGATCCTGGTGCGGTACGGGGGCGGGGGGGCAAAACTGGCACGAGCGCGTCCTGCTCTGCCAGGTCCAGGGAACGACCTGGGCAATCGCGACGCCTGATGACGATATTTATCCCGAGGACATCATGGCGCTGGGCGGCCGACCTTGTGTGCAGGGGTCGGTGCAGCTGACGATTCCCGCCAACGCGCTGCTGTACCGCTTCCCTCCGCTCGTACAGCTGCACATGAACGCGGAGTGGTGCCACATCTTCGATGCCGGGATCGCGATTGCGCAGATGCGGCGAGCTGCCATGGGGATTGATGACCCCGCCGCGGTTGCAGAAGCTGGCGCCGTTCGCGATCGGGTGGCTGATCATGGTTGGATTGCTGGCAGGGGGGCTGCCTGGAGGTCAGGCCGCCGCTCCAGCTCCAGCCGTGGGGGGCGCCGTGGTGCCCGCTGCTGCTGGGCCGCCGCCGACTGCTGTGCCGCTGCCTGCTGGGGGGGGCGCCCTCGCTGTCGGAGGCGGTGCTGGGATCGCGCCTGTGCAAGCAGCCGCTGCCGGGGCCGCGGCGCCTGCGCTGGTTGCCACTGGGGGTGCTACGCAGTGGATCGTGGTCACCAACGACGGGCAGCCTGGCGCCCCGAGCGTCGGGCAGGACCGGAGCGCGGACGCGAACGCGGTCATCCAGGGGAAGTTCGCCTTCGTCAAATTGGGCACGGCCACGCTCGTCCTTGAGCGCATCGCCGTCGGGAGCAGGGCCAGCATCCTTGAGGCCAGGGAGCGGGATCTGGAGCTGGCTGTCGCTGCCGCGCTCGCCGCCGGTGGCCTGGGGGCGGCCATTGCGGGGCCACCTGCTGTCGCCGCTGCCGCGCTTTCGGGTTGCCAGTGCGTGCTCCCGACACTAGAGTGCTTCCAGTGCTGTGCGACCAGATGGGCCAGAGGTTCCATCCCTACACCGACGGCGTGGGCCTGCTGGTGGAGCCCCCATGGAACGACTTCCCCATCCAGGGGCCGAGGGCGACCTTTTGGCTGTGGAAGTTCGCCCGTGATCAGGGGCGCGCGCCTCGCGCCAGGACGGATAAGTGGATGCGCGAGGCTCGCGCGTCTGACAACGACATAGTCAAGCGTGAGCATGGCAGTCTCATGGAAATTCTGGAGTGGGCGGTCTCATATGACCTATTGGACGCGTCGGCGCTGGCATCCTTCGAGCTGCTGTCGAAGAGGATTCAGCTGCAGGAGGAGGCCTGCACCGCCCACCCGAAGGCGCCGCTGTTCGAGGGAAGTGAGCACTTTCAGGGCCTTGGCAGGAATATTGCAGC